GTGTGGTAGTAGCTGAGAGTCACTCCCAGCACACACTCTGAGTGTGACGGCAGGGTCACAGGTGTGTGGTAGTAGCTGAGAGTCACTCCCAGCACACACTCTGAGTGTGAGGGCTCGCACACGCTCCTTTTGACCAAAACAACGCGTTCGTCAACACGAGATGATTTTAGTCCAGAACTCTGAGGAGAAACGTTCGAACCTCCGGTTCGATTCTGTTCAACACGTTGATGATGCAGCCTCTGGTCTTCTGAACCATCGTACAAGAATTCTGATCTGACTCCATTAAATCACAGATTATTCAGTAAAATCAGGGGAACTCAGTTTTCACGTTTAAAACCCACAGAACCAGAAGTTTGTATCTCACACACAGTTCTGACCTGAGATCAGTTCCTGCAGCCGACATCCTTCACATTCTCCGGCTGGTTCAGACCTGTCAGAGAGGAGTGTCAGTCTGCCACCACCCCCACCCCCACCCCCGCACACACGGTTGTCTTTCTGTCTTTACAGGGACTTTGCATTGACTTCCATTCATTTCTCATTCATTTTTAGACCCTAACCCCGACCCTGACCCCTGACCCACCAACAGCACTGGTCCTTATGGGGCCCGGGCTTTGGTCCCCATAAGGACCAGTGGGTCCTCACAATGTAGTATAAGTTGGTAAAATGGATGAAAGTAACACATATGCACACACACACACTGAAGCTCATTAGCACTCAGACACACACAGACCAAACAAGGTCTGATCACAGCAGCAGCGGCTCAGATTGGTCCCTCTCTTCCTGGGAGTCGTGATTTAAAAAACAAAGACCTGCAGAGACAGAAACACTCGGGTTTCTGCAGGAATGCACAGATGGGGAAGATGTGAATGAAAAGAGGAAAGAAACGAGTGAGAGAAGAGAAGGAGAAGTTTTTAAAAAGGGAAAGATGTTTGTGAAAACAGCTGCAGGGAGGAGAGGTTCACCTTCATGGCTGCAGAGCTCAGTGGATCTGTGTGGATCTGTGTGGATCTTTGTGGATCTGTGTGGATCTGTGTGGATCTGTGTGGGTCTGTGTGGATCTGTGTGGGTCTGTGTGGATCTGTGTGGGTCTGTGTGGA